GAGCATTACTAATCCTATTTCCTCCATCCCCACCATCTGGATGGCTTTACCCTACTGCCGACGATGTAAAATTCCGTCTTACCAAGCTTATCGAACTAGGGTTTAAGCTCGACGATAAATCCTTAGTAGACGCCTTACAGATTTCGAAAATAAGTTGGATATTTACGGCGATATCTTTTGGAATGTTTTCACCGCAATTCGAAGCGGTGAATCTAATTTTTCATTTCTTTTCGGTCTTTTTAAAGAGCCATCAAGGGTCTCAAAAAATCATTATTTTTAAATATCCTAAAATCAAGGTGTGTGAGCATCAAAGGATAAACTTACCTTAAAAATTAATTTGATGACTACACTTCCCCTTATATCGAAATTTATATTAAATTCAATTAACACAACCTTTGATTAGAACATTTAAGGGCGTTCTCAACACTGACTAATAAGTTCTGATTGGTTAAAAAAAAAAATATAGTGGAGAATATGGAAAAAAAAAAATAATATTTCAAGTGTCGCATCAATGTCTAGTAAAAATAATTTTTATAAGCATAAACATTTCTGTAAGAAAATTCATAGTTGATCTTTTTTTATTAAAAGAAAAATCGTTTAGGTGTTTCTATATATGAATAAAAAATAAATATGTACAAAAAATCCAATTTATCAAAAAAGTATTCCCACTTTATCGTGAACAGGTAATTTTACGTTTAATAATCGCCCAACGAAAGTTTCAAGATTGAGATAATAAAGCAGCTACATCAACCTAAAGAAAATCTCTAGCTTTTTTTCGGAGATACATTGTTATGAAATAATAGTAACTTTTAATCTTGGAATGCGAGATTTTATATATTTAAATTTTGTCGGTTTAGAATCTCAGAGTACTTTCTCAACTGGATCGGGACAAGTCTAACATAACCATTAAATTAGAAGTTTGTAGTGGTGCTGAAAAATCACGTTTTATTACACAGGTGATTTCTTGTTTCCTAAATTGTTCGAGTCCTGTACAAAAGGATCACATCTTTTTATTACGAATTATAATAAATTAAATAAAGATCACTAGAACATTAAAAAAAAAAAAAAAAAAAAAAAAAAAAAAAAAATAAATATTAAAAATTACCCATCATCATTTGTTTGGTAGTAAATCCTGCCGTATCATTTTTATTCATATTTAATCTCATTCTTTGAACTTTATATCGTGTATGTCCAAAGTAGATGCCTGCTTAAGTCCAAATGTTGAAGCCCGACTTAATAATATGACAACTCGAACCCGTCCAAGTATAAATTAATTTATGTTATGCTATTTTGGCGATGAGAAATCGTTGTTTTCTCTTGTGTGATTAAAATACAGCAAAACTTCATCTTTTCTGGTTATTTTTTTCTTGACATTTAATTCTCAGATTAAACTTGACCTTTTTGTTTAATAATAATAATAAAATATTTCAATAACGACAAATTTAAAACGATCGGCCACAATTGTTTGATATGCCAATAGAAAGAGGTCTTTAATCCAAAGTTTCTCTGAAAAAAATTATTCATTACAACTGAATCAATTAGAGATTCTAGGTAGAGGTATATATGGTAGCTATCACCTATAAACCACAAAAAAGTTATATGACTTTAAAATTATAATTTGAAAATAAAGCATTTAACCGATAAAATGTTAGAACAACGTGAGAAGATCATTTTTAACTTTTACAAAATACGATAAAAAATTTGAAGCTATTTCCGTTAAAATTTTCATATAGTGAAGATGACTAAGGATCGGCACGAAATTTATTTTCGGCGCGCTACTTTATTTTTTGTAACAAATTATTAAATTATCCTTGCCCAACATGGATTACCATAGCTATGTTTCTTTGTCTTTGAATTTTGTAGAATTACAAAATTCCTTGATAAACGAATAAACTAAATTTTTTTTTTTTTAAAAAAAAAAAATAAGGGTATGAACTGAAGTATTAAAATTATGTATAGCAAGCAAGTTACAGCCGAATCATTAATTCAGCAAGTTTATTATTTTTGACATTACTAATCATAATACACGATAAATCTAACCGAACATCACTCACTTATAACTTTAATGACCTGAAATACTTCATAATCATCAATATCAAATTCTGTTGGGATATCAATGATACTGTATGAATTCCAACAGGAAGTCCATAATTCATCATCACAAGAACTGATATCACCCCTATACCCAAAAGATGGTCCAAACGTATTATCACAATAAACTGCATGTTTTTCACATCCCTTCATTATTCTACCTATTCTAACCGTTTTGATATCTCTACAATCTTTAAAGGAAAATATAAAACTCTTCGTCGTGTATCTATAACCTTCTTCATACCAATCTGTTGGATTATAACCTCCAACGACATGATTAGAATCTTTGATTTTCGCGACAAAAATAGTAGCCCCCTTGCCATCACATTTATTATGAAAGAACCTTGTTTCCTTTCCGTCCCTACTGGCACGATAGAGCAATTTGAAATCATAAGGAACATTTCTGTGCGAATTGCCTCTCCAATAAATCCATTTGTAAAATAAGAAAAAATGTTGAGGTTTAATTATAACAGAACCATACTTTTTTCTTGGAGGCATCAAATCGACATATAATTTCCTATTTGGAGTCATGTGAAATGTCAGGATGTCCTTTAACAAATCATCTGACAGTAAACTTTTAAAAGGATAGATCTTATCGAGAAAATTTTCTGGCGTGATATGTAAGAACCTTATTAATGGAATAAATTCATCGAGAACCCTCTCCATGATCGTGAATTCCTCCTCGTTCCATTTAGCAACATCATGTGAAATAGTAGGTTCTTGTGCCAGACTCCATTTGATTAAATTATCCCAGATAATAATCTCGTCCAATTCCAAATCTTGTTTTAAAAGCAATTCCATGATAGGTGCTTTTAAACTAAGAAATTTATCTGAATCAAATATCAATTCAGGTTCTTGACAAATTTTTTCGAGACAATCGTTACAAAGTTCGGTGAATGGCTCGTATTGATAGACCGTTTCAATAGTTCCCATGGGATCTTGCTGAATCAAGTATTCTTTGATGCGAGACATTAAACTTTGTACATCAAGTTCATCGACCATCAGCAGTAGGTTTAATACATCATGATCTTTTAATACTGTCAAATCAATTTTTTCGCAATAAATGTATTTGATAATGATTTCAAATAACAAGGGAGAAATAGCGGGTTTTTTAAAGATAAACTTTCCATCCTTTTTCTCAGCCCATTCCTTTGAGAACGCTGTGCGAAAATATTGTGATCTAGAACATAAAATATTCGAGTGCGCTCGTATTTCTTTAACGTTTTCATTTTGACCGGAATAGATTACAACATCATATCCTTCGCCAGTTTCAAATAATCTTTCGTAATCCTCGGTGGTTTCAGTGGTTTCGATGGACATTTTTTTGAAAGAAATAAATTTTTTTTTTTTTTTTTTTTTTGGTAATTGAATTAAGTATTCTCCCCAAAAAAAAAATAAAAATTTTTTTCCCTACGTATTAACCAATTTAGGCATAATGACAAACTTCTTTGGTAAAATTATGGTTTCAGGTACCGAAAAACATATAAAATTAATTTATCATCTTTTAATGTGTAAGTTTAAAAAATTGATTCAAGTAAAAAAGTAAACTACGAAATGAAAGATCATTTTAAATACAACCGTCATCATAGTTGCATCTATTTGTCATTTTTTTTTACGAGGAAAAATTACATCGCATCACATAACTTTCGGGTCAAAAAAAAACACGTTACCATGAATTTTTAACATGACTTTTTTTTTTGTAAATATTTATTTAACGTTGCATGATTTCCAGTTTATTTTTTTTATTACAAATATAATCGTAGATAATTTATATTAATAAAGAAATAATAACAAATAATTTTCTTTTTTATCATATTATTGTAACTATTATGTTGCGATTAATGAACGATATTAATGTTAAAAATGGATCAAAAAAAAAAAAATAGTAATAATAAATCAAAATAATCGAAAAATAATCATTATACGCCGAAGATATGAAGAATCCTTTAAACTTTCATTAATTTTATATTCATCGATTAGAAACACGAGCCGAAAAATGTTCGTTCTATTTTATAAATTTTTTTCATCAAGGATAACTGCGTGTGAATTCCAAGATTTAATGATGCACGTAATGTTATTCCATAAGGTAAGGATACGGAAATATCACATGACACGATTCTCAACGCAACGGCGGAACATTTTCATCAGATTTATCCAACGATATTAGAAAACTTTTCTCTACCGGATATAATTATGCTGTAATCATCCAAGCTGGGGAAGTTCAAAATATGAAAGAATTCTTTATGCATTCTTTGATTCTAGGAGCAAGGTTAACATACTTTAAGACCGCATTTTCATAGGAATGGGCCAAAAAAGATGATGCAGTGATTATTTTAAAAAGCCGAATGTCTCTCCGGAAAACTTTGAATAGATTTTAAAGTTTTTATATACTGGAATCGTTCATTTAGATAATCTAGATGTAGCACAAATATTGATTGAACTGTTAATTGCAGCTGATTAAGTGACCATATTAACTTTTGATAAATAATAAATCTGAATATTTGAGAAATGAACCATTGAAATTCTTCAAGTTGTATTTCGTCATGAACGTTTGAAATTTAAGAAACTATTTGTTAGAAGGTGTTTGCGATAATCCTAAAGCTTCTTTCGAAATCTCCAAAATTTTCATCACTAGAAGATGATGTTATTATTTTTCTTTTAAAAATAAATGAACTTGAAATGAAAGAATTGGATATTTGGGACATTCTCAAATGGGGTGTTTCAAAATGTCTATCCCATAAGAAATTGATCTATCTTACTGGCCTTCAAATGATTTCATGATTTAATTTCACATTTTAGATGGTTTCAGATTCCTTCAAAAATTTTTTTGAGTATAAAAGCATCATTGGTTATTTTATGCCTTAGTTTTACCTCAAAGACGTATCCCTTATCGTTGAAGCTTCTTTATCATGCCAGTAGAGACGAGTAAGAAAAAATTTGCCATATATAATCATTTAGATGTTGGACCAGCATTTGGTGAAGGATGGAATTTAGGTATTCAAAGTAATAACATGAGTAAATGTAATGGTTATACATATCCTGGAGTAGAAACTATTTTTGCTAACAAAAATAATATTAAAAAAATATTTTAGATTATGAAGTATTTCAGGTAATAAAATAAGTAAGGTTTATATATTATGCATTCTAGGGTGATAGCCATTAATTTTATGAATTTCCAATTTTGGAAATATTATATATATTTTAACTTTAAATAAATAAATTTTACTTGAATTAAAAATAATGAAAAGGATTTTTAGCGTATTCGTCAATTTAAAGGTAATTTTTCAAAATTACACTGCTTTGTTTGATGAATATAAAAAGGAGAACTTATGATATAATTGTTCATGCTGGAGTAGTTCGAAATATGAAAGAATTCTTTGCACAATCATTAATTATAGGAGCTTAAGTGACGACATTAACTTTTATTTGTTGTATAATTCGTCAACATCCAAAGATCATTTGATAATTGCTTTAATTTTGATTCCCAATCGGCGGCCAATTCAAAAACTAATTAATGCATATGAGTTAGAGTTGTTAACTTTTGAATGAAATCTACTATTTCAGGATGGTTCAAAGTATGTCACATTTATTATCAATATAAAAAAACCATATCATATCCCAAAATACTAGTTAAAATCTAGTGATTATCAGCTTTCATTCTTTGTAAAAAAAAAAAATTTATTGCTAATAAAAAATAAAGAGAAATAAGTTACCAAGAAAAAAAAAAAAATTGAAACCGATCAAAATATAAGAAATTTAAAGTCATTATAAAGATTGTAAAATAAAAGAAGGTAAATTTAACATAAGATACATGGAATAGGGTTTAGTAAAGAAAAGAAAAATTTGGTCCAAACAAGCTCAACATGAAAAATTGGTGATATTATTCATTAACCATGAATTTAAATTTAATTGGTAGAGTTCGTACTACTATTATGATTATTTTGATTATAATGATAACTTTTTGTCAGTGATTTGATCCAATAATACTATTAAGAATAGCGTGATTACAAATAAACTTTGCAGGTTCTGCTCCTAATATTCTGAAATGCGTACGTAAATGCGTTCATAATTGATATCAAATTGTTGCACAAGATAATATTCCACTGTACATGAAATGACCTCGAAATTTTAAATGAGACATTTCTCAATATGCTAAAGCTCCCTAAAAAAAATTAGTTCGCAAAAAATGATATATAATACGTAATTTTACGCTTAATAACGTACTATAGCAGCAAGACAAATGGTATTAAGATTTCTAGAATTGTCAATTTGGGAATTAAATCTATCTAAATATATCAGATATGGTAGCATTGATGGCAAGTCAAACTTGATTGCTTATTCAGAAGGCTGGCTTCATCAGCTACATAATACTCCATCTCTTTAAGATATTTTATTGTTTCATCATTGCATTTTCAATAAATCAAATAAAACGTTCCTATTATTATTCATTTTTAAAAAAGAAGAAAATAATTAAATCTCTCGTCACCAATCATATAAAAAAAATTAGATCATCCTTATAATGTATCCAGGGTAAAGGCTTTTTCTTATCTTGTACCCTATATAAATAAAAATTTTATAAGTATCACGTGATAGACAAAGTTAAGGAGCAAGAGCCTTCCATAGAACAGGACAAAAAATTAACTTGTATGATTTCTCCAATGAAATCCGGAAATTCATTGAAGTATTTTCTATTAATTCATCAATAAAAGTCAATAAAAATAGTAATTTTATTCAAATAATTTTTTAGAATCTGAAAACATCCTTTTGATGTTCAGTAATAGAACTAAAGCTTGATATAGACCTTCTTGATTTTCTAATACAGCTTTATAAAGTTGATACATTGTTCACACATATTCTGATTTGCAATAACAAGCTATACGCTGAAATCATTTATTCATTGTATGAATCAAGCTTTATTGGATCAAAATTATTTTGGTATTCGTTACCCTTCATCAAACGAAGGATTATGTAATAGATGAGTTCTAACAATGTTTGATCAAATTGATCCAAGTTTTCATTATTGTTCACGATAAGCTTATGGTCTACATGTTCAACATTTGAACACTTTTTCAACTATTTCAATTAATTCCAAGAAACATATTGGATTCAACAGGTTTGTGCAGAAGGCTTTATTTTTCAAAGGAGGACTTGTCACTGACTATGCCTGTACTTGTAATTCACTTAATTTCAAGACCAATATTTGTATGCCAAACTTATTGATCAGTACATCTTCAAAGTTTTGTGTTTTTTAGTTCCTTAATCGCATCGCTTTACGTTAGATCGATTTCCTATGACATAAACAATTTGATGTACTCCTTTATCTTTTGCTAGATTGGCGAGTTCCAAATGCATTTCATCATCATTTTACGTAATCAATAATACGATTAATTTTTGTTAAGGCATACCATACAGATCTACTTCACGTGCAAAAAAGTAAAGGCAGAAGACATATTGTTTGTTGATGTTCTACTAAAAAGGATCTTGTTTAAAAGTAATAATTAATTAGAAAAAAATCACAGCTTCCCCTCAAATAAAATCGCCAATTTTATTCTTATACTCAAATACAAACCCTTATCAGTTTCGTCAGCATTGCGTATTGAAATACTAGACAGAATTAATGATTCTCTATTCCTTTATCAAGGAAATTACAATGTATCATTACCTTCAATGTTTTGCACAAATCCTGAATAGATGATTAATGAGATGCGAAAAAAGCGTTAACTAATGTAAAAAAAAAAATGTTCTTTAGAATTTTTTTTTATTTACTGGTAAATCAACTATAAACAACCTATGCTTTTGATTGGATTCATCACATACAACATTTGTTAAAGGTAACCAATCATTATTTGGAAATATTTAATACTTGGGTTTAGTAAATATGAACTTCAATTAATATTCTATCAGTTCCTATTTTACTCAATTTTGCTATATCGGCAAATTCTACTTCTCTTGGTTATATCGTTTTACGATTTTTGGCTCAAAAAATTACTACCCCTCCTCCTTCAGGTATGAATTGGTTGTTCAATTTGTAACATATGTATCGAGAAGGACTCTTGTAGGTCTTCTATTAATGATATTGTTTTAATTATTATGTCCGGATGGATTGTAATACATCAATAATAGGTAACACTAAGTATTGCTAAGTAAAACTACTATTTTCTGCATGATCTCCGGAGAGAATCAAGGCTCCATCAAGCAAAGCCCGGAGAAAGATTCCCTGAGCGCCATTTTCATCTCGATCCATTACAGTTCTACAATTTTGGTAATTATACACCTCAGACCCTCCAATTTTTGGATTTTTCCACACCAGCTACAAGTTTTAGAGGTATAAGCTTTATTTTGAATAATGATATAAACTTCCAATTCTTCTGCTTTAGCTACTAGACGTTGGCAAAATTGATAATGTGCCCAACCAAGCATTTGCCGAACTGTTTTTCGTGTAATTTTTCTTGTTTTTCTATTTGTTATATTTGACACTTCAAATGGTGGAATGATGATAGCATCAAATTCACAAATGAAAAACGAAACTGCTTTTCTATGTATTTCATTTTGCAAATGAAAAATTTTTCATCTCATACATGCCACTGCTTTATTAAGTCTTTTAGCCTTATTTTTTTTACGTTTAGAAGTTGACCTATTAAACTTGTTTTTTTGTGATATTAATTTGTCTATGTAGGTGCAAAGACGAATAATACGTCTAATGTTATGTTCATCAATCTTACCTACACCTTTTGTTGGAGAGTACCATGTGAATGGTGTTCTAACCCCAGGATCAATAGAGACTGCATGAATACCATCCGCTTGTATTTTGCAGAGCTGTTTTTGCATCTCATAAACCTATGAAAATTTCCATTCATTAGTTTTATGAAAATATGTGATTTTACAATCAGATGTTATCTTGTAAGAAACAGGCCACTTATTATTACGTCTTTTTTTTCAAAATGAAGAGGCCACAAATCACATTTATTATGATCCAGAGTGACAACAGGCTTATGACGATGTGTGGAAAACATTGATAGATTGTGGAGAGAGGTGACATAAAACGGTTCCACATGGATTTTGAAAAATTTTGTGACCGAATTGTTATTGTTTGTTGTAAATCTTTTTGAGATCGAAATGATAAAGATGGACCTCATTGTTTCATGTTTGATTCTATATTATGGTTAATTATCTTATCCCTAAATTAATTAAAAAATCAAAAAAAAAATCAGAAAATAAATAAAAATTTTAAACAAAAAAAAATCAAAAAATAATAATTATATCTAGCAGTCAATGCTTCGTCAATTGCCTCATCAATAATATTTGCAGGTGCTTTTCCATGTATACCTTGAAGTAGCATTCCAATACGCACAATAGTTCGTACGAATTTACATTCACCCCATACACATAATCTTTAAAGTTTCTTGTTCTTACATTCATTAACGTCATTTTCTACACGAACATCTGCATAAAGTTTAAGTTTATCTTCAATGGGTTGAGGTTTTACCCAAACTCGTTGTGATGGACCAATATGTAAATTCTTAGTAAATAAACGGCAGTATTGATTCCAGTGAACAACTGCATTATAAGCATATCTCATCAAGCCTATCCAACGTTTCAGTAGCTGCTTTTGAGGGTGATTTGGATACACTTTGATTAGCAGTGTACGATTGAGAGTGGTTTTCAAGTGTTGTCACTTGTTACGCACTGATGTTGTCCTGATCTTTGTCTTGCGCTTTTTTCCTAACCTGGCATTCTCATCAGTGAATAGCGGCTCTTCTTCCTTACATTCAACAGATAAAGACTGTGTTGATTGCAAGGATATCTTGGGAAAATTCGTGTTCATTAAATGTCGTATCATTGAAGAGAACCACGAGTTTTGTAATATGGAAGGAGAGTATGTACTGGATGAGGTCAAAGACGAAGTGGCAGAGTCGGTCATAATAGGTAACCACAATTTCTGAGACCATTCCGCAACTTGTCCGTTCCAATAAGGTCTTAAGTCCCGGTCATTTGAAGTTGACACCTGAGCTGAGTTCATAGGTTGGGAACCAGTAGCTGAGGAGTTACTTCTGCCACTCAAGATCTTCTTTTTGCTTAACACTAGAGATCCGTGTATAAAGGAACCCTTTTTTGGTGACGGTGGAAGAGGTGGTGGTAGTGGTAGTAGAATCTACAATGTTTGAGACATCATAAAGTCACACACCATCTGGCTGTTATTTTACTGTTACTGTACCAGCGACAAAGTGTATACAAGAAACACCAAGGATAGAAGAAGCCTGAGTGGCAGTAACGAACATTAAATGGAAAAAAAAAACTTAAATATTTTGCGAAAGGTTAAGCTTTTGAAAGTTTATTTGCAATAACATTAAGAATTTTTCAGTCCTGTGACACATAAGGGGAATTAAAAAACACACGTAATATATTTATGATGAACCAATAAAAGGATGAAATATTATTCTGTTTATCTATATATGAAAAGTCTATTTTACAGTAGATTTGTAAATTAAATTTGAAATTATAAAAAAATACTAAATATTTAAATATTAAAAAAGAAAAAAATCTTATTTGAAAGATTGATTTAATAAGAGATCCAGATTTTCCTGAGCTTCTTCACACCCATTTCCAGCAGCCTTCTTATACCAATAGATTGTTTTATCCAAATCTTTTTCTACACCTTGACCTTTTTCATAGGCAACGACAACACTTTTTTGTGTGTTACCATATTCCTATTGCGCTGATTTCATATATAATTCAAAAGCCTTGACAATATCAACGTCAACGCCAGCTCCTATTTCATAACATTTACCTAAATAATGCTGTGCATACATATTTCTTTTATCTGCTGCCGCTTGATACCAATAAGTTGCTTTCTCTAAATCTCTCTCTACTCCGTACCTGTATAAGTAGTAAATACCAAGATTAAATTGACCCGTGCTATTCTTTTTGTTAGCAATCTTTTTGTATAATTCAAAAGCCTTTGATTTATCCATAGCAGTTCTGATCCCATAATCATAATACCATCCAAGTTTAAGTTGCGCTTTGAGGTAATCCATATCTGACAATTCTTTGTAAATGTTAAAAGCCTTTATTTCATCCTTGATACCAATAAAAAGCTTTGCCTAAATCTTTTTCGATACCCTCGCCGTGCTCGTATAAACTTGCAAGGCAGAATTGAGCGTTACTATGTCCATCATTTGCAGCAAGTTGACACCAATTCCTCTTTCATAGAGTTTTTTCGAAAAAAATCTCTAACCGAAGATTTATAAGAATCTACATTATTGTAAATTTTAATTGTTTTTGGAAAGTGAATATTTAATTTAATATAAAACAAAAAAAGATACGGGTTTAAACTTCATAAAATTCTATATTCATTACCTGGAAATGAAATCAAAGAATTTTGTTACGTTTTTCATGAAACATGATGACCTCTCCAAAATTGCGCCTAAAATCAGATTAAATTCTTTTTTTAAGCGTGTATCTAAAAAGGAAATATAATAATATAATTCCGCCCGAAGATCATGATTTTCGCTTGTAAATTGTTTTCGGATAATTGTAGCTAGTAGGATAGGACGTCTGATATACATGTGTTGGTTATTATCTATCGCTTTCGCCCATTTTAACCTTATTAATTTTTAAATTCCGATTTTTCTTATCTTATTTTTATTTTTGTATTTTGCGTATTTTTAGGGAGGCAACACTGATAATAATTACTTCATTTTTTTTTAATTAAAACCTTCTGCTTACAAATACAAATCGTTTATAATTTTTTTTTTTAAAAAAAAAAACCAAGAAATGATGATTAATTGCAAATAGACAAAAACTAATCGGGCCAACAAAAATAAATTTAAAAATTCTATAAGTAATTATTAATAGTTATTCGGAACTTCAAATTTGATTGGTTGATTCGGGGCTCCGCAGGAGCCCCGAATCAAAAATCAAATTTGATTTCCAATATTATTAGGTAGCTGTAGTTATGTTCCGGTATTGGGTTAATTCGTATTGTTCAGAAACAATTTATGCACAATTTATAACCACAATGCATTCTTCATTCATTTACAGACCCTTCAATAAAGAGTTATAATATTTCTTAATACCAACTTAAAAATTCTCATAATTTACTCTAAAGCAACGACCTCTTTTAAAAGGATGTTTCATCACGATTAATTTCTTCACTGCCATCTAAAACTTGTTTTTTTTTTTTGTTTTTTATACATATATAAGCACATTAGGATTAATCTTGGCTAAATTTTTTTTTCTGTTTCGGATCTTTCAAGATGACTTTTTCTTTTGAATTATTTAAAATTTCTGATATCATCGTTACATTATTTCTTATTACAATACTATATTTAGCGAAGTTTTATTATAAATATTTCACACGATTGAATCCTCTTCCAGGTCCAATTCCTCTCCCAATATTTGGTAACCTTTTAAACAAATCTGGAGAATTTGACGAATGGATGTTGAAATTACATGAGAGATATGGTGACATATTTGAAATAACAATGCTCGGAAACAGAAGGGTAGTCCTTTGTCGTGGAGAATATGTTGAAAATATGATGAAATCATCAACCAAAAGTTTGTACCTACGACGATTCCCTTTCACTAAGGATTTAAAAGATTTAAGAATGTCCAATAAAGGGATAGTAAATAATATTGAGATTAATTCTTGGAAATACAATAGAAAATTTTTCTCTCAGGCCATCCTCGCACCTAGTTTTGCCGATGAAGCCTTGAATTGGGCTCATAAATTATTTTATGAAATGGAAAGTTATTGGAAAGGAATTGGGTTTAATACTTCAACTGATTACTCGGCTTGGATGCATCGATTTACGAATGATATGATTATAGTTTTAATTACAGGGAAACGCATTTATTCTTTACCTTCTTATTACAATACTTTAAGTGAAAAAAAGTCAGATATACCTATTACTTTAATTGAAGATTCCGAGGAATTCATTGAATCGATTCAAAGTACTACAGTAGGATTGGCCTTCTTTTTGTACACACCAGCTATTGTCAGACGTTATTTACCTTACTTTAAACAACGTCAAAACAAATTACTTAAAAAACGGGATTTCTTTTTAAATAAGATTGACCAAATTATTAAGAAGAGGAGAGAAGAAATTGAAAAGACTCCATTAGAGGAACCTCTCAGACATGATATGTTAACATCATTTATTACCGCTAATACTCCTCGTGATATTAATAAAACCAAAATTGCCGAAGAAGAATTCTTGAGTCCCATGACAGATGAAGATATTGGTGGAAATATTAAAGACGCTTTTATTGGAGGAACTGACACGGTAAATTAAAATTAAACTTTTTCCGTAAAATGGACATAACATTGAGATACTTATTCGTTTGCATTACAATAGACTGCCAATTCTTTGTGTTTCATTGCTTATTATCTCGAAAATTATCCGCAAGTAAAAGAAAAATTTCACCAAGAACTCTATCGAGTCTTTGGAAGTGATACGACGCGTCGGGTGACACACGAGGATCTCGATAAGCTTGAATATACCGAAGCTGTTATCTATGAAGTATCTCGCGTAAAGCCTGTCGTTAACATGGTATCGAGATATAGTAGTGGACCTGACGAGATTGCCGGTTATAAATGGCCTAAAAATACCCTATTTAACGTAAGTTTTAAGGCCATGAACTATCATAAGGATCATTGGAAAGATCCCAAGAAGTTTGATCCAGAAAGATTTCTAAAGAAAGATGAAAAAAGGCCTAAAGCCACGTTTAACATATGGGGTGGAGGTCTAAGAATTTGTCCAGGTATTTACCATCATTTTATTTTGTCATATTTTCTGTTTGATACTGGTATTGAATATTTTTTTTTTTTTTTTCTTGTTACGATTTGTACAGGACGAAAACTCGCGATGATCGAATTAAAATTTTTATTGGCATCAATTTATAGGAAATACGATGTCGAATTGGTTAATAAGAATGAACCATTAAAATCTAAATCCACTGCTGTAACCGTTTGTCAAGAACTAATGGTTAGAATCAATCCTAGGAATAGGAATCATGAATAAAAAAACATGCGGGAAATATTTTTATAAATAGTCGTAATTTATTTTTATAATAAAGGATAAATATTTTTTTGTCTATCGTATAAAAATTAAGTTGGATATTTTTTCTTTTACCGGTTCGAAAAAAAATAAAATTTAATAAATAAATGTACTTTTTTTAGGGGTGTTACTTGTGGTGTTTTATCTCTCTAATCCATACAAACTCTTTCTAATTTATTGAAACCAGTTCTTGAGGACGACAGGATTTTCGATAATAATTCAGTTGACATCACCTTTTGATACTGAAGCTTCGCGGGACTTGGTTTAGGTCTGCTTGTAAACAATCATTAAGGAGTCTCGAATTCCAAATATCTCAAATTATTAAATTTTGCAGATTTGGTTCATCTCATTTTATTTTTTTTTTTCATTTTTTGATCGCAGTTTCTTGTCGATAACTTTATCCCTCGAAAATCAAATATATTTGAAAATTTTTTCACCAGGTTCTTGGTGATGTTAAAAAGGAAGGATCATTGTTCCCCCTTAACTTTTAAAAAAGAAAGAAAAAACAATTTTATTTTATTTTTATTTTATTTAGGGCAAAAGAAACTCCATGTGCGAAATTTTTTTTCAAAAAAAAAAAAAATTGGAATCAATAGTAAAATATTTTTAACTGTGGTTAAATTTATAGTTCTAAGCCATCACATCTTAAAATACCCTTAGCAACGAAAGAGCCAACAAGCAAAACATTTCTTTTTCTATCCACAGCAGAAACCGATGCCATATTATACAAATTTCCATCATCTTCCAAAATAACTTTTTTAGAATAATTTACGCCATAAAATTTATCTTCTTCGGTATTATTACTAATTCTTAATACTCCAAAAGGTGGCGTAGGATATGTTCGATCCTTAACGTAAGGGAGAATAAGATAGGGCTTGTGTGCAACTATAAAAAAAGGAAGTTAAATAAATAAAAATAAATATATATATATATATGTTTTAAAAATGTTTCTATTCAAATACTTACTAGCAAGATAAAGTTCACCGGTTATATCGTCAACACTAATATTATCACCCAGATATCCTGTGAATATTCTCTCTTTTAATCTGAGTTCGTTACTATTCTTGTTTCTTTCGTATATATTTACTTCACCACCACCTGGTGCAGAAACATAAATAAGAGAGTAATCCCAATTCGTGTTAATCCCATTCGCATATCGTAATCCATCAACGACAATTTTAGTTTCATTCGTAATTGATGAATGAAATCCTACATTTGACCATGGACGAAATGCAAACGCTTTTTTTTTTTTTTTTGTTTTTTTTTTAAAAAAAAAATAATAATAATAATAAAAAAAGGATTAGTTATTAAAAAGTTTTTTTTATTGCTTATATTTTGAAAAGGTTTTTTTTTAGAAGAATTCATCTAAACGAAAAAAGAAACTCACTTTCAATAATTTTCAAAAAACCTTGTCTATAATAATGATCATTAGTAAAATAAAATTCATGTTTTGAAACGGGAACTACATCATTTGGAGTTTTGATTAATTCATGTTCAATGGTTTCCAAATGAATTAATTCTTTTGTATGTAAAATATGTTCAAACTTTTCCACAACGCTTCCGGTTTTTTTATGATTGATGAAGAACATGTATAATTTATTTTCATTTTCAGGATCTTCGTAAATGCCGAACCCATGAGATATAAAGTCTTCTTCAGGTGGATAATTTTTTAGAACAAGTGGAATAAAATTATCTTTCTAATTTTTTTCATTTCATTTGAGGGAAATTAAAAGAAAAGAAAATTTATGTTTCTTCGTAAATTTCAAAAGAATAAAAGGATTAATTAAATCATCTTACATTGATATCATAAATTTGGGGAGTATCTCTTATGTGGTGAGAACTGTTAAAAATATCGATTGGTGGGAAATAACCATGAAGTCTTTCATACTCGCTTCCGCAAGCCATAAAAGCGTATCCGGTTCGGTGATGAATATGAATATCTTCGCAAGCTTCAACATCTTTATGATAAAATAAAAAATAAAAATAAATATAAAAAATAAGTAAATTTTTTATTGAAAAAAAAACAATCCACCTTCTATCCTTCTGCATTTTCCGCCATCATAGGACTTAACAGGCGCTCGTGAAAATCCTAGAAGAATATATGAATCGTATAACGATTTGTAAGAAACAGCCAAAAGAATTACAAAAATCGTAATGAAAATCGTAAGAATATTTTTTAACATTTTTTATTTTGTAATAAAGAATCGAATTATTTGTTTTTTTTTGATATGGTATTTGGTCCGACAAAATTACACGTGGATCTATTACTAATCCATAATTCGGACCTTTAAAATTTTGGAAAATCCGGGTTTAGTTATTATCCTAGACTCCGTGTATAAATAAATTTTTTTAAAGTACTTATCACTAGGATAAGAGCCTGAACCCGGGGTACATGCCCTAAAATTTTTATTTTATTACATAATTTGATTAAGCAAGCACTCACTGATCTATACAATTAGGTGTTCCGATTGTTGATCGAAAATTCCTTTCTTTTTTCATTAAAAAATTAGCAATGTATGTAACTTATGGTTAGTGTTCTTATTCTTAATTCAAATCGAAGCAAGTTATTGATTTTTCAAATTAATTGTTACTTTATCTATTTAGAAAAGGTTGAAATACAGTCTGAAAATAATTTCTCTCAACTTGTGCATGGACAAAATATTGTAATTATACCGGAATTCACCCTTCAGTCCGGTCATACCTTACATAAAGTACCTGTGGCATATAAAACATGGGGAACAGTTAATGAAAATAAAGATAATGTTATGATAATCTGTCATGCACTTAGCGGAAGTGCTGACGTACAAGATTGGTATTTGATCTATCTGTAATAAATGTTTTAATATTTTGTCTTTACTTCATGTTTTTTTTTTTTTGTAGGTGGGGTCCACTTATCGGTAAGGGAAGAGCATTTGATCCTACGAAATTTTTCATTTTTTGCGGCAATATGTTCTCGTCACCCTATGGAACCGCCTCTCCTGTTACCATAAATCCTGAAACTGGAAAATATTACGGACCCGAATTCCCCCCGACAACGCCAAGAGACGATGTCAGGTGAATCAAATATGTAGCGATTTTTTATTAAAATGATCTCGACATATTTAATTTATTTCATTTTTTTTTTTTTTAAAAAAAATATATATATACATCACATTAAAGGCTTCATAAGATGGTTCTTGATTCATTGGGAATTAAGCAAGTTGCAATTTGTATCGGAGGTTCTATGGGCGGTATGCAGGTTCTGGAATGGTCTTTTTATGGGTCAGACTATGTCAAAACCATTGTTCCGATCGCTACATCTGCTCGTAATTCAGCTTGGTGTATCAGTTGGAATGAAGCTCAAAGGCAATCCATATATAGCGATAATAAATATTGTAAGTCATTATTTTCAAAACATTTGTTACGTGATTGTATATTGATTCTTTAATTTCCGATTTATTTTATTACAGGTGATGGATATTACGATCATAATGATGTAAGTTTGGCTGATTTTGTGACTAATGAATCCTCGAACTAATCAAAACTTGTGTTTTGAATTTTTTATTAGCCCCCTGCCACTGGACTTTCGGCTGCCAGGATGTCAGCACTTTTAACTTATAGATCACGAGATTCCTTTGAGTCAAGGTTTGGTCGAAAGTTTCATGATCCAAAGAAACACCCAACAACAACAACAACTTCACCAAAAATAAGACCTTCAACACCCGCTTCGGAAGCTTTTCTTATACATAATGATGGACATAGAAGTGAAAGTAGAGAGGATTTTCTTTCGAATAATAATGTTGAAGATCATGTTGAAACAATTGATACAAAAGAGTGGACGGAAAATAATGATAACGAACATTCCACAAAATCTGTTCCTAACGTTTTTTCAGCACAATCTTATCTTCGTTATCAGGGTGAAAAATTTGTTAAAAGGTTTGACGCTAATTGTTACATTAATCTTACGAGGAAGATGGATGCTCATGATGTGGCAAAAGATCGTGGTGATTTGGAAAAGGTCTTAAGCAGCATTCAACAACCTGCCTTAATTATTGGTATGTAAATATTTTCTTTAATGTAAATTTCTTAAACAAATGATATAACATACATATATATATATATATATTTTTAGGAATCGAATCAGATGGGTTATTTACAATTTCAGAACAATATGAATTAGCGGAATTTATTCCAAATTCAGAGATGGTTACAATTCAGTCGCCAGATGGACATGATGGATTTTTATTAGAATTTGATCAAATTAATAGACATATACTTCAATTTATTCGTAAATTTCTTCCTGACATTTCAGAGAATGAATTATGTGACATCAAAGATGTTGTAGGATTAGAAGATGATCAAAAAGATGTTTATGGGGGAGAAATTAAAGCTACCAAAAACAGCTTATTTGGTGAAGCTGAAGTGATAAAGTGGTGATGACATCTTTGGATTTAGATATTTAAATTTTCTTATAATTCATAATAAGTCTTCATTAAAAAGAATAAATTATTTATTCATTTTTAAACTTTATTTTCTAATGATCTATATAAATATTCAAAAGTAGCAAATTGAATACCTCCGCCAGGAGCAATTCTAATAATTCTTAATAGAGAACCTCTAAATAAAGAAAGGGGACCTTCATTTTTTAACATAACTTTTAAACACTCCCAAGAGTTCTTATATGAAGCAGATTGATCTTGCATTCTTGTCTTAATAACGTCAGGTGGGGAATTGAGAACGCCTACCAACACATTTGACAAAAACCCTGATGCAACATAATGTTGAGGCTGTAGATTATCATGACTTTGTATACGAAATAAATCCACAAATGTTGTATATCCTGTAAACTAATAATAATAAAAAGATAAAATAAAATAAAATAAAGATCCTAAAAATGATTGATCAGAATGACTTACTTTGACAGCTAACCCCCAAGACTGTCTAAATATTGTAGGAACCAACCCTTTATACATTGCTAATATTCTATTAATCAGGAGAAAACTGTTTTAATATGTGAAATTCTGAGCTATCAATTAAGTTTAACACGTATTTACCCTTCTTCCTTTACAATTGATGCAATAGTCGAAATCATTCCTCGATATTTCGATCGATTTAAATCAGTTTGTTGCCTTATTTTAACTAATTCTAATGGTGTCACTAAGGTTACTGCTTGCATTATTCCTGTACATATCTAAAGATAAATATAAATTAATAAAAAGTGATGTTGAATTACTTTAAGATGTGCTAAATTATTTACCCCGGTAAAAGCTGATGCACTGAATCAACAAAAGAATCAAAGTATGTAAGTAAATTGGATACATGGACCACATAATTAGTCAACTTCGTATGTTATCCAACCTTCCCGGCGGTATAAATTTTCCTTCCATTTTATCAAAAATTGGTTTAAACATCGCTAAACCCGTATATTGTAGCGACACTCTAAATAAAAAGAGAGAGAGAACTACCGTTTAAGATTTAAAGAGTACCAAGAATTCTCGATTTGATCTTTTAATCCATACCTTGGGGTCACGATACACATGACAGGCAACGTTCCTCTGTATAAAGCTGAAGATAATTTATTAATTTATAACATATAGGCTTATAAAATTTTGAAATTTACTAGTTACCAAAAAATCCTTCTTGTTTTACAATTTTAGCAAATGATCTTAATATACCAATTCCATCATAATTTGATGCAACTCGAATTGACTAAGTAAGCAAGGAATTCATTTTCAATTAGGAATTTATAAAATAGAATTGATGAAATGATTTGATAATAAGAAACTTTTCAATTGGTTTACCTGATATCTTCCACAACGAGATTATTAAAAAATTTCGTTAGGGAATTTCAACGGAATCAAAAAAAAATGGATTAAAATAAAATTCACCTCGTTTTTAATACATCTGTTGGCTAAAAAATTTTCAATTAAGAAAAAAAAAAAAATCTTAGAAATGTAATGAGAAAAAAAAACTTGAAATGGTTTAAAATAAAATAAAAATCATAATCATCATTAACCTGCATTATCGACACTTCAACTAATCTAATGGATAGTATTGATCGGTTGAAAAATTAGCAAAAAAAACCAAAAATTTAAATTCATTAAAAAAAAACTTACCCTGCTCCAGTACCAGCCAAGGTTGAAGCGAAAATCTTTTTTTGTTTAGACATTGATAAAGATTTCGGGGTGAAATTGGTGCAATCATCATCAGATTTATACCAAAAAAAAAAATTTTTTTTTTTTTTGCTGATCCGATAATTTTCGCGGATCATAGATTTGTGTCACAAACAATTAATGACACGAAAACTTTAATTTAAATTCAATAATTTTAATTTTTTTTGTTTTATAAATTTCTTTACAAATTTTATAATGAGAGTAAAAATGAATTTAAAAAAAGTTAGATAAAATGTAACTGTAAATTTAATACTAACCAAAAAGCTTATTATAAAGGTTACACTAATTATAAATATTATTTCAAATAAAATTTATCCAGCTTACTTATAATAAAAAGGTAATCAAGTAATGAAAATAGAATCAACGACAATTGAACATTAGAAGTTGCGCTATATACTTGAAAAATGTCTCATATGAATACATCTCGAACCGAATAATTTTTTATCTATGCATATTACTCCTAGTATAATAAACTTTCCCTTTCAGAATTGAATCTTACCAAAGATAATACAAAAATTTATTAAAAAGTAACTTTTCACTTAATTATGGTCAATATTCTTTAATCAGTTTGATTGATCGTAAGGATTGGATCAATTACAAATTGGTGATTTTACGTGATTTTATTCATCTTTTACGTTGGTTGGAATATTTGCTGCTTTTATTCTGATTTTCGAGTTGAAAATTCACCATTTATATATAAAGTAATTTATGCGAAAAAAGAAAATACATAATTTTAAATAGTGTAACAAAGTCGGTAATTTTAAATGTAATAAGTTACTAATTGTATAAGAAAAACAATTATGGAGAAGTCCTTCACATGATAAAAAGATTCCAAGGTTCTTTTATTGCGTTCTGGTAGATAAAAAAAATAAAAATAAATTAAAAATATTTGGTAAAATTTGACTTATTTATATCATTTGATAATATTTGTAATCATGTCTCAGAATACCACAAAAAAAAAATCACCTCATAGATCATTCAAAATAGTTTGAGCTAAAAGCTCCATCATAGACAAACAATACAAAGCAAGGAAGAGAAATAAATAAATTCTCACCAAATCATTTATCAAAACTTAAGAATTTCTAAATCTGCAAATAATCCGTGAATTAGTGAGCGATACATAGTTTACTTGAAATAACATTTTTTACAATCGCAAATTAAAGTTCAGATTAGAAATTCCCTTATCATGATGAAAAAAATTTCTTTTTTCCATTCAATTCTTTTCGAATCATTTAAAGCATCATCATTGGTTCTGACTTTGTTCGATTTTTCGATAGACAAAGAATGTCACAAAGATTCAAATGCTTACGTGTGTCCTAATTCTCCAAGGTTAAAAAAAGAAATTTATGAACTACGTTATTTATTGCGGTGTGATTGGTAAATTATTTGCACATTTCAGCCAATCAGAATTGGTTAAATAAATAATATTTAATAGAATCACATGACGTAAGTTCTAATAATAAAATTGATCACAGATGATAAATGAGCATATAATATTATAATACCATCTTTATTAATAATATTTTTTTCAGATTTAATAAATAAAAAATTCATTTTAAATTATTAAATTTTTTCTTATATAGTTTAATTTAAAACAATTTATTATAAAATAATAATATTGATATTAAAATAAATTAAATAAAAAATAATAATTTATTAATTAGTTAAATATTAAAATTACATAATAATTTATAAATAATTGATTAAATTATATAATATAAATTATTTAAGTAATATGTTAGAAATTAGTAATTTAACTTTTAAAGATCAACCTTTATTTTTTACCTGATATTTATTCTGATAGTTAAAAATTATTTATAAAATATTATTTAAGATTTAAATTAATAAAGTTATTAAAAAATATTTACAAAATTTTTAAAATAAAGAAAATTAAATATTAATAAAATTTTTTTTAAAATAATTTAATAATTAAAAAGTTTATTAGTATTAATAATTATTAATTATTATGCTTTATTAATAGCTATAATATCAGATAATTTTAAAGATATATCAAAGATAGAATAGTTAAATTAGAATAATTAGTAGATAAATAAATAAAAATTAATTAACTTATTTTTCAATCAAAATTCCTTTTACTATTATCTTACAAAAAAAATTAAAACAATTTATTTATTACTTTAATGTATAATATAAATAATTATTATATAAGATAATTAACATGATAACATATATATAAAATTATAAAAATGTAAACTGATTCCTGATTGAAATTACATCACAATCAATTATTAAAAATAATAAAAGTGAAGTACTAAGGAACGGTTTCGGAAACCGTTGTTAAGTCCGGACATTTTTCATCACTATTGCTCGTACATAGATAGTCCTTCCGGACTAATCAGTTACTAAAGTATTCTTACGTTGCTCTTCCGAAAAGTCAGTCTTTCATTAGAGGGTGTAATTAAATTACTCAAATCAAGAAATTCTACAAATATGCATGAATGCTTATAAAAAATTTAATTCTTTGTGAATTTCATGTTGCGTTTGTATGATTACAATAAACATTAACATGGTTGTGACTATCACATGATATCATAAAAGTATATTCAAAAGTTTGAGTTTATTTACTGTGCAAAATATAATAAGTGATACATTTTGTTTTATCGTTTTAATGTTCTTTCGTACTTTGCACTTTTTAAGATAGATTCAAAAAAAAAAAATCTTTTCGAAATGAAAACGACTTCGTATTTAACAGAAGAGAATGCTGACGAAAAGTAAAGTTTTCAGTAACTTATGTCATTAATACTTTCCTTACTGATTATAATTAAAGCAAATTTCGATGTCAATTTTAATTTAGACAATTAAACCGTGAGATTAGGTCAAATCTTAAAGGTAAAAAAATAAAAAAATTCTATAATAACAGTAAGTGACTAAAAATGCAAACTCCTAATTCATAGCAACATTGAAGAAACGAGAGATTCAAATTTCGAATTCAATGGATGAAGAATTTGAATCAAGCAAGATGGCCATGATTGAAATTCTCTCGGTCTATCTTGAGAAAGACGATTATTTTACGTGAGTATAATAAATATTTGGTAAAAGCATCAAATTTTATTATATTTGTTCTTATCACACGCTACGTAATTTTTAGCAATAAAATCGCATCCGATTTTAAGGATAAAATGGATGAGTATGCCGAAGAAAGAAGTAATTGCTTGAGAAAACTTTTATTCGGATTTGAGAAATACCAAGTAGACGAAATTCATTTTATAATTTAACAATTAAATGAATTAATGCTTAAATTACAAATTCCTTTGTTTAAGAATAATAAAAAGCAAAAATTTTTTTTTTGAACCAGTTGACGGCTTCTACCCTGCTAGAATCTTTAGAAAAGACTCAGTCTAATAATTTGAGTGTGAGAGGAGATCTCGAGAAGGATCTCGAACGGATGCGTATGTAGAATTAATTCGTATTTATTAAGCCTTTTTTTTTTTTAGAAACTTAAAATCTTTCGATTTGATTTCTTATGCAGGTTCCATCCATCAACGTGAAATGAATCAATTACGTGAAAATATAGAAAAATTGACGGAACCTTTTCACAAAACAGGAAACTCAAAGAAAATCATTCGCCAATGAGTTAAATCTTAAATTATATCTTATCTGTACTACTTAACACGCGTCAACAAGTCATTACTGATGAAATAAATGATTGGATATAATTTGCAAAAAAATAATGGCGCAGTGAAACTTTTTATCTCAATTTTCTAACAATGGCAATTAAAAGTAAGCCGTTTAAATCTTTTTTAAAAAAAATAATTAGCGAAAATAAAAGTGAACATAAAGTGAAGGTCGGAACCAAGGTCTAGGGAGACAAAAAGAATTACGGATGGTTAATGAAAGTAGGGTCCTTAAGCGTTTATGTTATATGAGAAATTGGTCAGTTATAAACTATTTTGATTTAGGTTATACCTTTAATCGCGCATCTTCTAATAGCGCGTTTAATGACAACCTTTTTCGTCAATCATAAATTTGTTGTAAATTCTTCGCTGATCGACATGATTTCCACCGAAATTGGTATCAACAATAAGAGCAGTGACATTTATTACGTAATATCCATTTACGTTACACTATATATACTAAGACCTTCAATTACCCCCAATATTACGTAATAAATGTCACTGCCATAACACATCCATTTTGACTTGTATTGAGAAATGAAAACAGAGTTCCAATGAGTACATCGTTAATAACAATACTAACAAAGGGTGTTTTAACTTAAGAATGGAAGAGGTTAAAATTTTTATTTTGTTTAGTATTAACAGACTAATATTCAAATAACACAAATGGGGGTAATTGTTAATAGGGTCAAATTGATTATATACAAATCAAAACAAAAAATTGTAATGATTCATGGCATGAAATATTGATCACCATATAAATTCATATGTTACTTTTTGTTTTAAACACTTATTCTTGTGTAGAAACGTAAAATTGTTAATTCAAAATTGCATGCGTGATGTTTAATTAGAACTATTGGTTAATTTATTTTTTTTGAATTGATCGGCTGTGCTTAAAAATTTTTTTGTTACAAATTGATGAAATTTGACACGTGGAATTGTGCTTTTTCCGCGGAAAATTTAATGCATATATTCTTCTAATTTGTAGTTATCCAATATAGAACTTTATGTAGAAAATTATATTCATGATTATATGATGAACTTCATGAAATGTTTTTATTAATTCAAAAATGGTTATGAGAAAGTATTAACTTTACACATTTGGATTGTAATGTTGAATTGAATAGTGCACCAAATTCCAGAATTCTCTAAAATCACGTGAAACACAAATTTACTCCGACCATTTATAATTAGTCGAGAAGATTTACGCAACTATGCATCATGAAATAAAACGATTTTATGCTATGCCCTTGTCATCTTGCCTAAATTTACAAGACCAAGATTTAATAAGTATCTAGAGGTCCTTTTAGTTTAAACATTGCATTCATATGTCAATCAAGTTTTTTCCATAAATTTTGAAAGAGACCTTATTCAAATAATAAGGTTGATATTAAAGATTTTCAATCATAAAATCGTTAGAAGTTTATCACGTATATGATTTCAACATGTGTTTTGTAAAGGGGGTTTGTAATGCGATCTTTTCATATGATTTCATCCATAATGGTTTAAAGTAGTTATGATTGCGTCAAACCTTCAAACTCAAATTTAGCAAGGTTTTGGATTTGACACCATCTATTTTTGTACATATGATCGACAACTAAGGACACTAAGGACTACTAATTTTATTTTAAACCAATCGACAATGTTCTGCATTTCGGATACGTCCGTAAATACAATTGTTCATATTAATTGGGCATAGCTTATCATTCTTATCATTGAATCAAATGTCCCTGCATCGCAAATATATAAAATAAAGAAATACATGACTGATTTTATCAATTTACCCCTTTCGTTTGAGGCGGGAATTCTCTTTATAGAGTTCTTTTGTTATAGCTTGTCGATTCCAAACTTTTTTTTTTCTTTCATTACCCTTGAGTCGCTGCTGTTTTTGAAGGTAAAGTTTCATTTAAAGGTATATAATAAAAAAAAATTTATGTGCGTTTTATGCAAGTAAAATTTATTTGCAGTCATTTTAATTTCTAACTGGAGAGTTTCTTTTATTGCATATATTAAATTTTTTTTTTTTTTAAAAAAAAAAACTATTAAAGGAATCGACAAGTTTTGAAGTGTAAGTTTCAAAAAATCTTTTTTTTTATTTTTTTCTTTCATAAAAAAATATAAATTTTTTTTTAAATAAAATAGGTTGTTTTATTATATTTTTAGAAAAAGATATAATAATTATTATTATCATTCCTTACCGATTCGAATCAATTCTCCTTTGACTTAATTATTTTAACATTAAAAAAAAATGCCGCTTTCTCAACGTAAATTATCATCAGCAAAACATCCTTTATCCGAAACAAAAATTATCGAAGAAGACGTTGTTTCTTTGATAGCCAACCTTGATAACGAAAAATCTGATGATGAATTTGATCTGAACGAGTCTTTATTCTTTCCGACAACTTGGACTACGAAAGGTTCTTTAACTTGCGCTTTCTGGGAACTTCCTAATTGGTTGCAAGACAACAATGACATCATTCGAGGTTATCGTCGTCCAACATTTTCATATTTGAAATGTATAAAATCTTTATTTTATCTTCACAATGAAAGTGGTAAGTTAACGATCAATTGTGGATTTGTGTGCTGTTAGAGCATAAACTAACAAATTTTTTTTTAATTTCTTGCGTGTGGATTAAAGTCAACATTTGGTCCCACCTTTTTGGTGCGATCCTTTTTGCTGGTCTTTCATTGGCTACTCACTTTTACTTAATGGACCATCCAACTTTGAAGCAGTCAGATTACATTGCGTTTTATTGTTTTATGGCGGGTGCAATGATATGTCTTGGATTATCTTCGTCCTTTCACACCATGTGTTGTCACTCGGAAAAGGTATTTTGAAATTCTCTTTTAAAAGATTCTCAATACATTAATTATAATTCGAATTGTATGCATCATAGGTTTGCGCGAATTGGAATAGATGTGATTATGTTGGCATTGTTGCCTTGATTATGTAAGTTATATTATCGAAAAATTTTATTGCAAATTAATTTTTTTTTTTTTTTTTAAAAAATCAATTATTTTTTTTTTAGTGGGTCTACTTGTCCAATAATATATTATGGTATGTTCTTTCGAACATTTTTTTTTTCCCCAAACTACCTTTGCTTAAATTATATACATATATTTTTAGGTTTTTATTGTAATAATCTATTAAAAATTGTTTATCTTACAATGATGCTTGTGTTTGGAGGCGCAACAGTAAGTTTATTCTAGTTTTGTTCTATTTATGACGTTTTTTTCATTCCCTAATATAATTCTTTGTCATGTAGATTTCTGTAGCAGTGGCTCTTAGATTTAGAAGACCAGAATTTAGGTGGTTTAGAACTGGATTGTTTGTAGCATTAGGTGGAAGTTCAGTTATTCCAGTAATACATGCTATTTTCTTATATGGGGTGAATAATTTATTTTATGATATATTACAAATTCATTAACTTTGTAGCTTTCGTACAATTAATCACTTAAAATGAATTTATTTTGTAGTTTCATTTGAGTTATGAGGTCATTTCCCTCAAATGGTTGGCAATTACTGGTTCATTATATATGTTTGGCGCATTTCTTTATGGTACAAGGTATGTATATAATGGTTATCTGGATTTAGATGGTAAAATCTATTACTAAATACATTCTTATAAATAGAATACCCGAGAGGTTGTTTCCTGGTAAATTTGACATATGGGTTAGTATCAACTTTTAAGATCTCCGCTCGAGACATCTTTCATAAATAATTAATAGTTACTTATATAATCCTCTTTTTGTTTTTTATTTAAATAATTTCTAGGGATCATCCCATCAATTTTTTCATTTCTTTGTTGTAGCGGCGGCTGTATTTCATTACTATGGAGTTTTTCATTCTATGTTATATTGGCATAAAGTAAATGATCAATGTATATTATCAATTGAACAGATGCAGCAGCATTTAGTGTCAAGCAATTAATTTATTTAAATAGAAATATATATATATATATACTGTATATTATTTATTTCTTGATAAAAAAAAATAGATTTTCGAAAGAATTACTTTGAAATTTAAAGTAATTAATGTATAAAAAAATGTATGAAAAAATAGATTTACTTTTAACTTCATAATTAAACAACATTTTAGAGTTTTTTTTTATTTTTATTTCAGATATGATGCTTAAAATTATAGTTAACGTTGATTGAAATTATATAATTTATCGTTTCATTATTTTGGAATCAATGAATTGATTGTTTATCAATGTAAAAGATACATATATCTGCATTGCGGAGCGGATCTCAATCTTAATATGATCCGAAATTGGCCCGAAAATTGTCTACAACAGGTATTCTTTTAAACAATTCTGAAATTGATTATTATTTCTATTTAAAGTAAATTTACGTGATGTATAACAATTCTCTATTGCAAATGTCCCATATGAAAAATAATTACCTAATCTAATCAAAGAATTTTTATATTTTATTTCCTTTTTGAAGTAGAGGTTGGAACTAGCCAAAAATTCTTTAACCGGTTAATAACCGGTTAAAATATTTGTTAACCGGTTAATTAACCGGTTAAAATTAACTTTGGCC